AGCAATATTGTCTTCTTTGGACTTTCCCTTCAAGGGCTTTCCTCAAGGTTTTAGAACGCGTCTACTAGGTAGAGATTTCGTTTCCCTCTCCAACATGGGATCTCACATCCACATTCCTCCATTTCTTTCTTTAATTTGGTCAACCCGTAACTGTTTTTCTTCCTAATTAGTTAGCTGAGGTTAGCTTTGTTTATTTGTATTGCTGTTATATAGCTCACTTTTTCAAGACAATAAATTGAGGTTAGTTGTGTTTCTTCATATGGCGGGTTATATATATAGCTCACTATGCTCAGCTTCCTTCCACTTCTAGTTATTGATAACCTTAACTTTGTGCTACATGCCTATGAGTATCTATATTCAGATTTGCACAAATCACTTACCAATCGTTCCTTCATTCTTCGTGCAGTTTTGATTGGACCATGGGGTGAAGGCTTTCCAAATCGTAACTTTCTTTCTTCCATTGATTCATTAGGGAAAAGGGGGACGGAGAGGCTTTTTCATCTTTTTCATTATTTTTCAATTTTGCTCTTTCTATTGGATCATAGGCTGGTTATTATCATGTGATGAGACTTGAAATCGTTTCATAAAATCTCAGGTTGGCTTTGTAGAATGTGTTAATTTAAGATGTCTGATGACACTGTTCTTTTTTGCAGCTTTAAGTTATTAGCCTCAATTAATTCTATTTTAAACTCTCATTAGGAATGTATGATTATTTATGTAGATCGCATGAACATATCCTTTAATTAACCTTATAAAGCTAGCTCTAAGTTGTAACCAATTCATGTCACGTAGATTTCCAATCGACTGTTTTTCAGTTAATATTTATCTTCAGTATATGAAATGTGGTATGTCATTTTGTTTAATCATTCATATGTGATTTTTGTTAGATGTGCTAAATTTTGTGCCTTTGATCAAGAGCTTATTACAAATTTCAATTTCTTTCATATATATATATATATATATAGGGAGAGAGGTTGATAGGTTTTGTAGACGGTCTAGGTCTTTATAGAGTCTTTTAGTTCTCTATAGCTTGGGTCGACTAGCCTGCTACAAAGTAAGTGCAGCTAGCATGAGACTAATATGGATCGGTTTATCCATGTATTTGGATTGAGGATTTAATCTTAATGTTTTTCGTGATTAGACAATATAAGAATGATTAAGTATGACACATAAATCGAATTGTTTCGTAAATTATTGGTAATGATGACATAGAAGGGGTATGCCACTAATCGAGGTGGAGATGAACAAGCTGAGGGTTAGCTCGGGGAAAAGAAACGTTCCAGGTTAGTGCACCAATAAATTTACATTCAAATGTCTAAAAGAATAAAAAAGAATAGGCTAAATTACATTTTTAATTCCTGTGCCATTCGATTAAAGCTTACCGAATTTCTTCCTAAGCTCTAATTCAAAAGACAAACACCAACGGTGATGATAGAGAGGACGTGAAGTTGAGACGTTTTAAAGCGTCGAGACTAAACGAGTAACGGACCGAGGAGGAGAAGGGTTAGTCAAGAGCGGGGGAGAGATCTTTTAAGTAAGGTAGCCATGTACTTGCCTTGATGATGAGCAAGATGAAGCTCAGTGGAAGATGGAGGTCTTGAGCCATCACCAGAGAGAACCCCAGCCCCATAAGGGGACCCTCCTCTAATGGTGTCTAGATTCGTCATTTCACTCCCAAATGTATAACCTATTGGAACATATACCATTCCATGGTGTGCTAGAAGACTCACTGCTGTTAAACTGCACACACACAAAAAAAAAAAAAAAAAAAAAAAAAAAAAAAAAAAAAAAAAAAAAAAAAAAAAACC